AAAAAAAAATCATCAATTTGAAGTAAACAATTTTCATTTTATATAATAAATGTTCGTTAGTGTTGTGAGATTATTTATCTCCTGATAATATTCATGTACACTTTTATGTACAACAATATAAAACTACCCAGTATTCAATAATAGAAGTTGTGAAAAACTTTGTGAAATAATTTAAGAAACACAATTAAAACTTTTGTTAAAATTATAAGTCTTTCCATATTTAATTTTTCAACATATTACAGATTTTTTCATTCTTTAACATAAATTATAAAATAATTGTATTTCGTCAATTTTTTAAATTGTATATTTTCAAATATTATTTACATATCTTATCTTTAAATAATTTGTCATTGTAATATTTTCATCATATTTTTAATATATTTATGAATAATTAATTATATAATTAATTGTTCTACATATATAAAAAATTATAGATAATTTCACATTTATTCAACACAACTTTCTAAACTTTACATATATAATTATATTATTACATTTTTTTATGTTTAATGTCCAAATCAAATCAAAAAACTTTATCATTTAGATAAATAATGTCAATTCTTTTGATACATTTATTTCTGATATTGTAAATATGTTTTGTTATATTTTTAAAATAATTTGTTTATTTGAACAAAATTTTTAAAGACATTCATTTATATTTTGGACTGCAATCGTTTTGATTATTGAAACTATATTTCGCATAATTTTTTTGCAAAACTTAATTAAAATATTATTAAAATTTTATTTTATAAAGATAGATTTTAGTATTCATTTAATTTATGTTTTAATTATTTTTCATATTATCGTAATAAGATTTATAATTATCGCAATTAAAAAGTATTTGAAACATTAGTATAAAGTATTTTTTGTTTATATAAGAAATATCTCAAGAAAGAAATATTACAAATATCTCACATCACAAATGAACAATTTTATCATTAGATTTCTAAAATATTTGTTAAAATCAGTAAAATATTATTTAAATGTAATTTTCTTATAATGTATAACAACAAACAAACTTGGAAACATATCCATATAAACTTTTATGTATGCGCTTAATTTACATGCACTGCTTTATTATATTTATTATTATTACA